GTCTGCTATGTATATTATGAGTGATGGGATTTACTTCTGGAAAACATGAGATGCCGTCATCTTCTGCATTTACATCTTCCTCCGATGTTCTTCTATTCTGAGCGCAGAGTCCGCCTGTCAGGGAAATAAGAATTGGAAGTATTTTCCAGGAGTCATATATGATGGAGATGGACCTTTCATATGGTGTCCAGTATCTCCTCCTCATTTGTTGGGAACGTGACGTTATATTGAGGAATGGAGATGGACCTTTCATATGGTGTCCTGTATCTCCTCCTCATTTGTTGGGAACATGACGTTATATTGAGGGATGGAGATGGACCTTCCATATGGTGTCCTGTATCTCCTCCTCATTTGTTGGGAACATGACGTTATATTGAGGAATGGAGATGGACCTTTCATACGGTGTCCAGTATCTCCTCCTCATTTGTTGGGAACATGACGTTATATTGAGGAATGGAGATGGACCTTTCATACGGTGTCCAGTATCTCCTCCTCATTTGTTGGGAACATGACGTTATATTGAGGAATGGAGATGGACCTTTCATATGGTGTCCAGTATCTCCTCCTCATTTGTTGGGAACATGACATTATATTGAGGAATGGAGATGGACCTTTCATATGGTGTCCAGTATCTCCTCATTTGTTGGGAACATGACGTTATATTGAGGAATGGAGATGGACCTTTCATATGGTGTCCAGTATCTCCTCCTCATTTGTTGGGAACATGACATTATATTGAGGAATGGAGATGGACCTTTCATATGGTGTCCAGTATCTCCTCCTCATTTGTTGGGAACATGACGTTATATTGAGGAATGGAGATGGACCTTTCATATGATGTCCAGTATCTCCTCCTCATTTGTTGGGAACATGACGTTATATTGAGGAATGGAGATGGACCTTTCATATGGTGTCCAGTATCTCCTCATTTGTTGGGAACATGACGTTATATTGAGGAATGGAGATGGACCTTTCATATGGTGTCCAGTATCTCCTCCTCATTTGTTGGGAACATGACATTATATTGAGGAATGGAGATGGACCTTTCATATGGTGTCCAGTATCTCCTCCTCATTTGTTGGGAACATGACGTTATATTGAGGAATGGAGATGGACCTTTCATATGGTGTCCAGTATCTCCTCCATGAAAATGGCTGATAAGATTGAGAACATGGAAAGTGGTTTGGGGTGTGTCGGCCAGATTGCCTGTAGTAACTGTTCTGCATCGGAGTTACCTGGGCTGATATCTGGAGAAGTTTCTTCCTGTTTGATTGCCTCCACCATCCCAACCTCCTCCTCCTTCAGGTGCTGATCACTCCTCACACACGTCTCTTCTTCCTTTATAACCTCAGTTTTTACATTGATCATTTCTTCATCCTAAACCAACAAAATGGGAGAAAATTATTAGATTTAAAATGTGTGTGGGGGGGGGGGGGGGGGGGGGGGGGGAAGAGGAGAGGCATTAATATAAATTTACACTAGTGTTTAGAGAGAGGGGGGGGGGGGGTGATAAAACCCTGCGGTTGAGCCACACTTTTACCAACCCCCAACCACTTTATTCTTTCAGCACAGAGACAGCCACTGGAGGTGTACACATCGCGGCACTTTGCTTTGCGGCAGGAATTATACCCCGCTGTCCCCTTCGGCAGTGAAGTGAAAGGGGCCACTCTGAAGAAGCCCCGCAACCGCATTCAATGGGTCAAAGCGAGACGTGTCTCTTCCTCGCCGTCTGTCAAATTCTCGATGAAGAGCAATCAATGCAGATCGCTCTTTACAGTGCGAAGCTCGTGGAAATTTAGAGCTGTCCCTCAGAGAGAGAGAGACCGCTCCCGCACACAGAGAGAGAGAGAGACCGCTCCCGCACACAGAGAGAGAGAGAGACCGCTCCCGCACACACACACAGACCGCTCCCGCGCACAGAGAGAGAGAGAGACCGCTCCCGCACGCACGCACAGACCGCTCCCGCACACAGAGAGAGACCGCACACAGAGAGAGAGACCGCTCCCACACGCACGCACAGACCGCTCCCGCACACACAGAGAGACCGCACACACAGAGAGACCGCACACACAGAGAGAGAGAGAAACCGCTCCCGCACGCACAGACCGCTCCCGCACACACAGAGAGAGAGACCGCTCCTCCCGCACGCACCCACAGAGAGAGAGACCGCTCCCGCACGCACACCACAGAGAGAGAGACCGCTCCCGCACGCACCCACAGAGAGGGAGACCGCGCTCCCGCACGCACACACACAGAGAGAGAGAGACCGCTCCCGCACGCACACACAGAGAGGGAGACCGCTCCCGCACGCACACACAGACCGCTCCGGCACACAGAGAGAGACCGCGCCCACACACAGACCGCTCCCGCACGCAGAGAGAGACCGCTCCCGCACACACAGACCGCTCCCGCACACACAGACCGCTCCCGCACAGAGAGAGAGAGCGCTCCCACACGCGCACAGAGAGAGAGCGCTCCCACACGCGCACACAGAGAGAGAGAGAGCGCGCCCACACACACACAGAGCGCCCCCCCACAGAGAGAGAGAGCGCCCCCACACGCACACACAGAGAGAGAGAGCGCCCCCACACGCACACACAGAGAGAGAGAGCGCCCCCACACGCACACACACACAGAGAGCGCCCCCACACGCACACACACACACACACACAGAGCGCCCCCACACGCACACACACAGAGAGCGCCCCCACACGCACACACACAGAGAGAGAGAGCGCCCCCACACGCGCACCCAGAGAGAGAGAGAGCGCCCCCACACGCACACCCAGAGAGAGAGAGAGCGCCCCCACACGCACACCCAGAGAGAGAGAGAGAGCGCCCCCACACGCACACCCAGAGAGAGAGCGCCCCCACACGCGCACACAGAGAGAGAGAGCGCTCCCACACGCGCACACACAGAGCACTCCCGCACACACAGAGACTGCAACATTTCACAAAGTAGTTATTAAATTCCACCTTACCAGTAAAACTGGTTGTGGTGGATTATAGAACCGCACCCGGGACTCACAAGGCTGCCTGTGTGATGATCTGTAGAGAATGTTCAGGGAGCTTCCAAGGAGATCGATCGAGCCTTAAATCAAGAGCGCGTGTGTTTCTATGGCTCAAGAGAGCCCTTCGATTGTGTGAGAATGTTGGTCTGTTAGCTGGAGAGAGCAATGGAGAAAGTGATCAATTGCAGGAGTGTGACCGACTGATCTCCTTCCTCTCTGAACTTCACCTTTCATTCCTTTGTCTAGGGACTTGCCTAGAAGGCGTGGCTCAGAATGTTCACCTCCTGATTGGAAGGCATTTCTATTGAATAACCTATTGTTTGTTTAGGCGGTGACTGTAGCTGTCCACCAGATGGCACTCTAAGGCCGGCCATACATGAGTCGAAATTCAACCGATTTTTCATCCAAAAATCGGACCTAAGAATAATTTTCGCTCTGTGAGTGAGTCAATGGCACCGTCCGATTTTCGTGGTTCCTCCCCTTTTCGGTGATCAGGCATGTTGCAAAATTCATGAAAAAACAACCGACTCGATGGTCAAATCGTACAATCGTTTTTCCGAAAAGAATATGCGCATGAGCCGTGACCTGGAAGGAACAGAAATTTCACCTGTTCTATGGGGTGAACTTTATGACTGTCGGCCAATTTTCTATATCATTGACGGCACCATCGGATTACCGAGCGAACGTTTTCGATTTTCGAAGTGCAACAGCGCTGAAAGCTGAAAATTGGCCTGGGCGGGAAGGGGGACAGTGCCGATGGGCATGAAGGCGGGCACAGTGCCCGGTAGGTTACTAGGGGGCTGGGGCTCTTACTAGGGGGTGGGGTCTGTTACTAGTGGGCGGGGTCTGTGTGCTTCACTGTAATCACACTGCTTTGGATGGCTGTGTTGTGCAGTGTGCAAGTGCTGACAGGGAGGACAATTTGGTCTACAAACAGTCTTCCTCCCTATTGGAGATGCTTGGCAATCACTGGGCGCCGGCGAGCATTCCCCGTCCAGAACCCGGTGATTGACAGTGGCGGACGCGAATGGCGGAGCAGGTAGGGCGCACGTGCGCACCTCATACCCGGTGATGCAAGATCTGCTATAGGGCAGACTGAGCTGGAAGTGGGTCGTTTGCCTATCAAAAACAGGTATCCGCTCCCCCCAAAAGGTGCCAAATATAGCAGTGGATGGGGGAGGAGGCTTTTGGGTGGAACTCTGCTTTAAGGAGATTCCCCCTCTGTGTCCTGTTTACTATTATTATTGAAAGTGAAAGTAAATCCCACATTTTGGGTTGTAACCAGAAAAGTAATAGAGAGGAAATCTTCCAATGGGGACATTCGTTCTGGCCTGGGGATTCCCTAATTTGGAGGGATTTCCTATCGCTTCCTGTTTTGGCTAGGGGACAGGAAGTGAAGGGAAATCTCCCCAACGGGAACATGGATGACCCTCCATTACTCTTGCCAAAGTGAAAAAGGTTTTGCCTATAGGTCTACTTTAAGCTTTTCTTGCAGACCTGAGAAGGCATAGATAAACGTGGTCTCCTAGGGTTCTGTGATCACTTTCCTACATACTCCGTCCCACCTACCTGATGATGGTGAGGGATGGTGTGACCTTCCTGTATGGAATCCCGGGAATACAGAGGATGGGGACATCTCTCTGGTGGGTTCCCATGACTGGATCCATCTACCTGATGATGGTGAGGGATGGTGTGTGACCTTCCTGTGTGGAATCCCGGGAATACAGAGGACGGGGACATCTCTCTGGTGGGTTCCCATTACTGGATCCATCTACCTGATGATGGTGAGGAATGGTGTGAACTTCCTGTGTGGAATCCCGGGAATACAGAGGACGGGGACATCTCTCTGGTGGGTTCCCATGACTGGATCCATCTGTAGGAAACACACACACTGACTGAATCCATTGTTTCTATGTGTTTATCAGATGATGGGGGATCTAGGTGGACCCTCCGTACTGCTCTCTCCTTTCCAATAAAATCTCCTCTTACCCGGTGATGTGAGGGGCGGCTGATTGTCCATCATGACGTCCTTGTAGAGGTCCTTGTGTCCTTCTAAATCAGTGGTTCTCAACCTTTCTAATGCCGCGACCCCTTAATACAGTTCCTCATGTTGTGGTGACCCCCAACCATAAAATTATTTTCGTTGCTACTTCATAACTGTAATTTTGCAGTGGGAGGAATAGTGTCCCATCATTGATATCAGTGGGAGGAATAGTGCCCCCATCATTGGTATCAGTGGTAGGAATAGTGCCCCCATCATTGGTGTCAGTGGTAGGAATAGTGCCCCCATCGTTGGTGTCAGTGGTAGGAATAGTGCCCCATCGTTGGTGTCAGTGGGTAGGAATAGTGCCCCATCGTTGGTATCAGTGGGGGGAGGAATAGTGCCCCATCGTTGGTGTCAGTGGGGGGAGGAATAGTGCCCCATCGTTGGTGTCAGTGGGGGGAGGAATAGTGCCCCATCGTTGGTGTCAGTGGGGGGAGGAATAGTGCCCCATCGTTGGTGTCAGTGGGGGGAGGAATAGTGCCCCATCGTTGGTGTCAGTGGGGGGAGGAATAGTGCCCCATCGTTGGTGTCAATGGGAGGAATAGTGCCCCATCATAGGTGTCAGTGGGGGGAATAGTGCCCCATCATTGGTGTCAGTGGGGGGGAATAGTGCCCCCATCATTGGTGTCAGTGGGGGGAATAGTGCCCCATCATTGGTGTCAGTGGGGGGAATAGTGCCCCATCACTGGTGTCAGTGGGAGGAATAGTGCCCCATCATTGGTGTCAGTGGGAGGAATAGTGCCCCATCATTGGTATCAGTGGGAGGAATAGTGTGCCCCATCATTGGTGTCAGTGGGAGGAATAGTGCTGCATCGCTGGCATCAGGGGGAGCAATAGTGCCCCAACATTGGTGTCAGTGGGAGGAATAGTGCCCCATCGTTGGTATCAGAGGGAAGTATAGTGCCCCATCGTTGGTATCAGAGGGAAGTATAGTGCCCCATCGTTGGTATCAGAGGGAAGTATAGTGCCCCATCGTTGGTGTCAGTGGGAGGAATAGTGCCCCATCGTTGGTGTCAGTGGGAGGAATAGTGCCCCATCGTTGGTGTCAGTGGGAGGAATAGTGCCCCATCGTTGGTGTCAGTGGGGAGGAATAGTGCCCCATCGTTGGTGTCAGTGGGAGGAATAGTGCCCCATCGTTGGTGTCAGTGGGGGGAGGAATAGTGCCCCATCGTTGGTGTCAGTGGGGGGAGAGAATAGTGCCCCATCGTTGGTGTCAGTGGGGGGAGGAATAGTGCCCCATCGTTGGTGTCAGTGGGGGGAGGAATATAGTGCCCCATCGTTGGTGTCAGTGGGGGGAGGAATAGTGCCCCATCGTTGGTGTCAGTGGGGGGAGGAATAGTGCCCCATCGTTGGTGTCAGTGGGGGGAGGAATAGTGCCCCATCGTTGGTGTCAGTGGGGGGAGGAATAGTGCCCCATCGTTGGTGTCAGTGGGGGGAGGAATAGTGCCCCATCGTTGGTGTCAGTGGGGGGAGGAATAGTGCCCCATCGTTGGTGTCAGTGGGGGGAGGAATAGTGCCCATCGTTGGTGTCAGTGGGGGGAGGAATAGTGCCCATCGTTGGTGTCAGTGGGGGGAGGAAATAGTGCCCCATCGTTGGTGTCAGTGGGGGGGAGGAATAGTGCCCCATCGTTGGTGTCAGTGGGGGGAGGAATAGTGCCCCATCGTTGGTGTCAGTGGGGGGAGGAATAGTGCCCCATCGTTGGTGTCAGTGGGGGGAGGAATAGTGCCCATCGTTGGTGTCAGTGGGGGGAGGAATAGTGCCCCATCGTTGGTGTCAGTGGGGGGAGGAAATAGTGCCCCATCGTTGGTGTCAGTGGGGGGAGGAATAGTGCCCCATCGTTGGTGTCAGTGGGGGGAGGAATAGTGCCCCATCGTTGGTGTCAGTGGGGGAGGAATAGTGCCCCATCGTTGGTGTCAGTGGGGGGAGGAATAGTGCCCCATCGTTGGTGTCAGTTGGGGGAGGAATAGTGCCCCATCGTTGGTGTCAGTGGGGGGAGGAATAGTGCCCCATCGTACAAGTGGTGTCAGTGGGGGGAGGAATAGTGCCCCATCGTTGGTGTCAGTGGGGGGAGGAATAGTGCCCCATCGTTGGTGTCAGTGGGGGGAGGAATAGTGCCCCATCGTTGGTGTCAGTGGGGGGAGGAATAGTGCCCCATCGTTGGTGTCAATGGGAGGTAATAGTGCCCCATCATAGGTGTCAGTGGGGGGAATAGTGCCCCATCATTGGTGTCAGTGGGGGGAATAGTGCCCCATCATTGGTGTCAGTGGGGGGAATAGTGTCCCCCATCATTGGTGTCAGTGGGGGGAATAGTGCCCCATCATTGGTGTCAGTGGGGGGAATAGTGCCCCATCATTGGTGTCAGTGGGAGGAATAGTGCCCCATCACTGGTGTCAGTGGGAGGAATAGTGTCCCATCACTGGTGTCAGTGGGAGGAAAAGTGCCCCATCATTGGTGTCAGTGGAGGAAATAGTGCCCCATCACTGGTGTCAGTGGGAGGAATAGTGCCCCCATCATTGGTGTCAGTGGGGGGAATACGGCCCCATTATTGGTGTCAGTGGGAGGAATAGTGCCCCATCATTGGTGTCAGTGGGAGGAATAGTGCCCCATCATTGGTATCAGTGGGAGGAATAGTGCCCCCATCATTGGTGTCAGTGGGAGCAATAGTGCCCCAACATTGGTGTCAGTGGGAGGAATAGTGCCCCGTCGTTGGTATCAGAGGGAAGTATAGTGCCCATCGTTGGTATCAGAGGGAAGTATAGTGCCCATCGTTGGTGTCAGTGGGAGGAATAGTGCCCCATCATTGGTGTCAGTGGGAGGGAATAGTGCCCCATCATTGGTGTCAGTGGGAGGAATAGTGCTCCATCATTGGTATCAGTGGGAGGAATAGTGCCCCATCGTTGGTGTCAGTGGGAGGAATAGTGCCCCATCGTTGGTGTCAGTGGGAGGAATAGTGCCCCATCGTTGGTGTCAGTGGGAGGAATAGTGCCCCATCGTTGGTGTCAGTGGGAGGAATAGTGCCCCATCGTTGGTGTCAGTGGGGGGAGGAATAGTGCCCCATCGTTGGTAATAGTGACACCAATGATTGGGCACTATTCCTCCCACTGACACCAATGATACTTACCTTGCTGACCCTGCTCCAGCCTGGGCTCGCTCCCTCCCTCTCCCATGGTACACAAACACTTACCAGTCAGATGGCTTCCTTCTCCGGCCGCTTTCCTCCTCTTCACTCGCTCGTGCTTCGCGGTGCCGCTCGGCTCCTCCTTCCAAGCTCCACCTCCTCGCCGGTGATTGGCCGCCTGTGTGCCTCTCTTGAGCTACAGTTCCGGCGGCCAATCACCGACGAGGAAGGATTGATCCCGGGGGATGACAGAGACGGCATGTCATCCCGCCCACACCTGCAGACGGATCAAGGAGCGGTGTCTCGGTTCCTAAGGCCATCGGAAATATGTGTTTTCCGATGGTCTTAGGCGACCCCTGGGAAAGTGTCGTTCGACCCCCAAAGGGGTCGCGACCCCCAGGTTGAGAACCGCTGTTCTAAATACTCCCACTCCTCCATGGAGAAATAGACAGTGACATCCTGACACCTTATAGGAACCTGACACACACAATGATACAGTCACCATCCAGACACATCCCTTGTCTGTTACTGGGGAATGTCCCAGAATTCTCGGCACCACTCACCTCTCCTGTCAGCAGCTCAAGGATCTTCTGGGTGACTTCTAGAATCTTCTTGGCACTGGTTCCCTCTGCTGTCAGGCAGTGAGGTGGAGGCCCTGTGATGGGTGATGTTCCATGAAGACCACTGTTGGGTGTTATTGGTTCACCAGATGTCTTCTTCACTACTTTATAATCCTGTGTAGACAGGGGAAAGCAATTATCACTACAGACTTCCCAGAATCCCTCCTCACCTCTCTGGTCAGGTCTATGTTTTATTAATAGAGATGAGAGTGATGTCATGTGACCTCCCAGAATCCTCCTCACCTCTCCGGTCAGGTCTGTGTTTTATTAATAGAGATGAGAGTGATGTCATGTGACCTCCCAGAATCCTCCTCACACCTCTCCGGTCAGGTCTGTGTTTTATTAACAGATTGATATATTCCTGACCCCTGCACTCTGTACCCTAAGCTGGATATGATATACCCCTGACCACTGCACTCTGTACCCTGGGCTATATATGACATACTCCTGACCCCTGCACTCTGTACACTGGGCTCTATATGATACACTCCTGACCCCTTGCATTCACAATGATGGGGGGAGGGGGCATTATGGTGGAGGTGTGAGATCTGGGGAGTCATCATGCAGACAGTGGGGCACACACAGGGCAGAGAGGAGAGCGGTGCAGGCTGGATTAGGGAGAAGCATGTACAGGTGAAGATGTGGGGGGAGGGGTGCAGACCCTCCTAATAATCAAACATTGTTACCTCTCCCCTCGCTGGGCTCACACTCTCCAGAACATTCTGAGAGGAGACGTCCTCCTTCCGAGATTCCTTTTGAGCTACAACAAAATGGCCACCACCCCTCCTCCCACACGGCACAACCTCCCCCTCTATCGGTGGCTCTCCGGCCCACCTTGTTATACATTGTCCTGGAGGGGGAGAAGACTTGTGCCGGGGGGGGGGGGGGAGATGGGGGGGAAGACTTGTGCCCGATGGGGGGAAAGACTTGTGCCGGGGAGGGGAGATGGGTGGAAAGACTTGTGCGGGGGGAGATCGGGGGAAAAAACTTGTTCCGGGGGGGGGATATATGGGGGGGGGGGGAGATGAAAAACTTGTTCCGGGGGGGGGAGATGGGGGGAAGACTTGTGCTTGGGGGAAACTTGTTCGGAGGGGGGGGGGGGGGGGGAGATGGGGGGGAAGACTTGTGCCAGGGAAGACTTGGGGGGGGAAGACTTGTGCGGAGGGGGGTGGGGGGGGGGAGATGGGGGGAAAAAAACTTGTGCGGGGGGTGGGGGGGGGGAGATGGGGGGAAAAACATGTGCGGGGGATGGGAGGGAAAGACTTGTGTGCTGGGGGGGA